AACATTGGCTAATTGGAAGATAGAAGATAAAAGCAATTAACAAAATAGTTGCGTACAAGAAAGCTGATTTCTTCTAGTTTTTATATAAATTAATTTTAGGAGATTGTTAAATCTCATGATATGTCTACACGTTGTCAGAATACAAATTATTAATAAAGTCTTTAAAGTGTAAAAGGCTTTACAGACACCTTTATATAAATCTCTACGTCAAGATGCAAAAATCGTTAATATTCTGCCTTGTGTCCAATCTGCTATAATAACGCATGTGTTAATTTGCCAGAAATACTCGCCTCTCAAACTTTACGATGCCGTTCCTGGGCCTCGCCAATTATCCGTGTGATTTTGCGCCAATGTACAATGAAGTGTAAAATTTTACTTCAGGAAAATGGCACTATCCTTAAGATACGTTCACAGCTACATTCTTGTAACTTCTCTACGTCGAATTATTTATAATCGCACGATCGTTTGTCACTAATTGTTGGATTTCAACTGTCACTTAAGTTAAATACTTGACTGTTCGATCACGTCACGCGGCTTGATTATCGAAAATCCAGATTCATTGTTAGACTGAAGTTTCACCAATAATTATTGCTGTATCGCCGTTGTGAATTACATACAATGCGCTTAAATAATTATTTTGTTACAAATTTTGAGAAGGTCAAAAATTCACACTGTCTTTAATTAATTTATTAGTCACATCCGCGCGCCGGTGAAAGTATATATAACTCTTTCACGCGATGATACATGAGACAATTGTGTCAATGAATCGCCTATTTAGCTTCTTTTTATATCGAATTCCACGCGTGTCAGGCTTATCGGCGTTGATCCCATCCGATCGAAGCCGAAAAGTACTGATAAGCGAAACAACTCCGGTGCTATCGACAGGCCGGCCTCGGTGCCACTAACAGAAAAACACGCTCACCTTTTCTGCGGTGGTACAGTCGACGACGTGGGGATATTGGTAATTATTATCGTTTAGCACTCTTATCCTGCGATATACCGGGCGTCGCGTTTAGATCTTCAGGTATGGATTTTGATCTTTTATATATATTTATACAAATTGCAATTATATATATTTATACAAAATTAAGATATTGTATAAAGATTGATAAAATTATTAGTCACACACGCGTAAGATTAATACAAAAAATAAAGCTTTGTCATATACATATATGTATATACATATATATCTTTTAACGTCGTTACAGAGAAACTTTCCTATTCTAAAGCAGTCTTTGAATTTGTATCTTAAATCGACAGTATATATATTTGTAAAGTTAATTGACATTTTCTCATCGTTGTTCGCCGCTTTGCTCGACCGCTTTGATCATCGCGGAAAAGACTCCATTCTGTCTTTGCATTAAATCTGCCGGTGAGCCCTCTTCGATGATTTTGCCCTCGTCGAAAACAATGATGCGATCACAATTCAACAAAGCCGCCGCTCGATGCTGCACAAAAAAATTAGTTTCATTCAAATGTTATTCCTATCTAACAAGAGCTTAAGTTTTCGAGATTAAAAGTTTTAAAAAAATATTAGAAGGCGTTTCTCAAATCTTATATAATTTATAGAGTAGCTACTGACCGCGATGGTGATCACAGTTCTGTCCTCGAAAGCGACAGCAGCCGCTTTCAGGAGCGACTTCTCAGTGGCTATGTCAAGCGCGCTGGTTGCCTCGTCGAGTACGACGATACTCGATCGCTGAAGGATCGCACGTGCCATGCAAAGCAGTTGCAGTTGACCGGCTGAAAAGTTCTCGCCGCCTTCTCGTACCTCGAGGTCTACGTCAAAATTAACTTCAATTACATTATATCGTTATCTTGAACTTATTTTATCGTGTTACGTTATTTATCATATTATTATTAATATTAATAATATACGTATCGTATTATATTATATTACGTACTTAATCCTTCGGGATACGAAGCTATGACATCCTTGATTTGCGAAAGCTCCAAGGCTCGCCAGATTTCTTGGTCCTCGTGTTCCGAAAATGGATCCAGATTTTCTCTAATGGACAGTATAATCAAATTTAAGCTCACATATATAATTTTTAAATGAACACCGTGTGCATTACGTTTAGCGAATAACTGCGACGAGAATACAACTGTGAAATGCCAGCCGCGTCAAAGACATTTCGCAATAATAAGAGATTTGCGAATGTATTATCTGCGCACCTGATCGTGCCGCTAAACATTATTGCATCCTGCGGTATAGCCGATAACCGCGATCGCAATATTCGAAGAGGCACTTGCCGGATGTCAATGCCATCCAACAGGATGCGTCCTTGGCTGATCTCGATCAATCGGAAGAGGGCCATAACGGTCGATGATTTTCCGCTACCGGTTCTCCCACAAATGCCCAACTGCGAATAATAATTGTATAATAAAATATATAAAATATATGTAATATATTTCTATTTTGTTATGCATTAAAATAAAAGAATCTTAGAGATTTGATTGATTGTCCTTATACTATTACATATAATTTTATTCATATTATTATATTATATACATGTCATATCATCTATTGTTTTTTTATCTACGGGTTACTGATTTATTATACCTTTTGCCCAGCTGGTATTTTCAAAGACAAATCTGTGATCACCGGATTTCTGTCTGCATCGTAGCGCAGAGAGACATTCTCAAAAAAGATCTCGCCCCTATTAGGCCAGTCATTGGCTACCTGTAAACCTAAAATCGAGCAGATAAAATTAGCCCGTGTGCGATAAGGAAGATAATAACGGGAAATAACCTGTAAATATATTATAGTCGACTTCGTGAAAGATATCTTTGCTCGATTGTTTGATATTTTGTACATTGGATTTTCAATAATACACGAATAAATCACTGAGTCGATTCCGGAAGTTGATTATCGCCAAACGACAGATTTTGATCGATATTTAAATACAACTGAAATATAATATCGTTTTGATAGATAACGATGATACCGAAAGACGGAAGATTACTGCGAGACAGTAAGTCAGTCGATATTTATTAAATAATATAATTTTCAAAATAAAAAATTATCACTTGTTTGTTGGATTTGATTTGCGCCCGTCACGAATTAAAAATTATGTAACATCATGGCAGATTAATAAGTTTCGTTCATCGATATTCATTGATGTCGATATGTCGCGAGTTTGGAATGCATGTGTATTAAAGACTTTATATCCGTGATGTTTGATATTAAATATATATACGATTACAGAAATTTAACGGTGATAACGCTATGGCTGCATGTGCTTCTACCAATGGCACCGCACTAATTAACCGCGCGCAGGCAAAAACGCGCTTTCTCGCGAGCGCTCGGCTGCGCCGACGTTAAATGTATAAACAAATTTGACAACAATATTAATAATCGCTCTGATCGACGCTCTCACCGACGATCTCATCGGATGACAAGAACTGAGGGCATATACTCGTGGAGTCTCACCATCGCGACTCACAGAGTCGCATGGTATTTTTGGGGATACATCCTCCACATGCATCATATATCCATCTCTCATCGACAACAACGCAAGCGCCAAAACGCGCACAAGTTTTTCAGAACTTTGT